ATGGCCCCAGCAAGTGCTGTGTGTGGAGAGCTGGGTCTACCCTCCCCAGAGAGAGACCTGAAGCATGTTCTGGGCTGCGCGTCGCGCCCCCAGCGATAGCCTAAATAGAAGTGTGTGCAAGTTCGAAAAACGACAAGTCCGGAGAGCGCGGACTCTGAACTTCATGCTCGACTCCAGCCTTCAGCTAGGCAGGGGTAACCGTCCGGCGGAGCGCGGACGTAAAAGGGCACCTGCAAGTACATACTGGGTGTCCGCTTTTCATCCAGTTTCACTGCTTGTGGGTCCCATCACGCTTGCCTGCTGCGTGGTGACATGCAGCAGGCGTCGGACGCCCCGCGACGTTAACTCATGGCCCTCGATTCCGGGTGGAGGCCAAACTGTGGGCCTCCCAATCCGTTACTGGAGCAAACATGCGCAACGATCTCCCCCTGCATGGCGACGTGTCCCGAGGCCGACCTGTTGGAGCGGCAGGCGGAGCTGGGCACGTCCACTACCATGCAGGCGGAGGTTGTGTGCATGTGCTACAGCAATGGTTGTGGAGGCGCTCGTGGAATTCACAGAACTCTCGCCTTTTTTTGCAACACTTTTTTTGGAAGATGAAATGATCAGGTGTTGCATTGGTGTGTTTGGTTGTAGGATGTATACCCCAAAGCACAATAAAACAAAACACTGAACATGTGTGCACCACAGGGGTCCAACTAGCAACTTCTTGCTTGGACCACTGGTGGAACCAGGCGACTTTCCGTGAGCTATTTTTTTAAGTTGCGTCGCTGTCCCTGCGAGCTCTTGGCATCGGACACATGAGCGACTTCGCGCATGGGTTGTCTGGTTGTGCACACACCAGTCTGCTAGTATGCATGAAGGCTGCATACACATGTGTGTGTGTGCCACAGCCGCAACTAGACAAAATTGTTGGATCACTTGTAGCGCCCGGGTGTTCCCTAGAGATGTGTTTTGCGGCTCTTGCATACAACCAGCAAGCTGGCCAGCGCTATCATGTCTGTGCATAGAGGCGTGTGCTGTGTTCCAACGCCGTATACACGTTGGGTCGCATTTGGAAACCCGGAGAGTTTCCCCAAGCTTTTGTCGGTTGATGTTGGTTGACACTCATGAAACCTCGTTTGTGAGCGCATAGAGCTGTGTGTGTATGCTTCCATCGAACAGGGATTCGCAGTTTTGCAGTCGCAGTTTCCTCTTGAAGCATCATGGACAAACTGAGGGCTGCGCTTCTAACATTCAGGACGAGAATCGCCGAGTCGTGGCTCTCTTCAGTGTCGATGCAGAGCAAAGAAGTCTGCGGCTCCCAGCAGTATGCGGCCCGCCGCGGGAACGCTCTTCGTAGGTAGCGGGCTTCCAGCGCTCGGCCACATCGAGTGCGGCGCCGTCGAGCACCACCGACGGTTGCGTGCATAGATGTAGTCTAGCGCCAAAACACATTGTAATTCTTGCGGGAGCGTTTCTAAAAGCTCCATGCCAAATCATGCTGTCCCCTCGGTCGGGGGAACCTGCAAGGCTGCGAAAAGAGGCACAACAGGCGCGAAAATATAAAAAACAGCTCCTGGAAAGGAACAGAACAAGAGCGCACGGCAGCCTTGTTTTGATGCTAGAATGGTCTGGTTTCGTGTCAGAATTCCACCAGATAGTTTTGATTGTGTCGTTGTGATATGTCGATGATGTCATCAGGGCGAGCAGCTGGTCTGGAACATGCTCACTGCCTGGCCATATCGAGAAGGAAGTCGTCATGGGCTTACCGTGGCGGCCCCTGGTTCCAGTTTCTCGCTGGTCTGGAGCGTGCTTCACCACCTTCCCCTCCGGAAAAGAAATCATCAACTGCTCACTGTGGCTGCATGAAGACAAGGTGTAAACTGCGATTTGTAAACTGCGATTTGCCTGGTCCTGCTGCGGCTGTCGCCGTCTCCAGAGGTCGTCGGAGCATTCTGGTTTTGCTACGTGCGTCACCACCCTGTGGCACGGCAAGCAAATCATCCAGTGCTCAGTTTTGCTGCAGCTGGTTCCAGAAGGCGTACACTGCAAGCTGCTCAGTCCCGATCCTGCTGTCGCCGTCGAGAACACCTCAAGGCAAGCATCTGGTCCGGGAGGGGCTTCGCCGCCTAGCCGTACGACACGAAAGTCGCCAAGTGTTCGCTGTGACCGCAGCTGTGAGCAAAAAAAATACAACTCCCGTTGCTCACTCCTGCCGCTGGTGCTGCGACATCGAGCTTCTTACGCGTAGGGGCAAGTAATTAGTCGTGTTGCCCGGGGATTGTAGAGTCAGATCGCTTGGCCGTTCGCAATAGGCTGCAAGACGTGTACACACTTCGTTAGGTACGTTTCGGAAGGAGAGTCAGCCGCCGCCTGTACCTCGAAGCTATGGCAGGGCGAGAGGGAAATATAGGTCGATGCTGAAGAAATGCGCAGCATAAGTTCACCGCCATGTCAATCGGGTAGGACGATGGATGCTTGCTTGCTTGCTTCCTTCCTTCCTATGCTGTCATGAAACGAGCTTATGCTGTTGTCCGCACCAGAATGTTCAAGCGAAGCACATCAAAGGAGTCATCGTAGTCGAGACTTTCTATCGGGATGTTGCCGGAGCAGTTGGCCGTGGTGACAAGTTCGGCCTTGGTCGCTTTGCAGTTCTTGATTTGGTGCGGCCTGGCGCGCTGCCCCGGGTACTGCAAAGACGGTCACAAATGGAATGCCATTGTGCAAGGTAGCAAGACCAAGGTGAAGACGGCAGAGGGCAGTTCGGAAGAAGGGCAGGGAAAGCGGAAGCGCACATCATCTCAAGAGCCTCGACAGAGTCAACATCCCCTTTTCCGCTGTTACTACCGCCCAGCTTCTCCGAAGAAGCGCGGACGCCCGACCAAGGCCAGTCTTGCTGAGCTCGCGGGGAAAGAGCCCGTATGTAAAGGTGTGCAATGCCGGCAAGCCGCTTCATGGCGCAAGTTCTGTCCGGTGGCAGACTTGCTACCGGATAGCATCAGAGGCTGGTGGCACTTCTATACTGGTTCAGCCAGTTGACGGGCATTCAAAAAGCTGCGGCCTACACTTGCTGCGACAGGATGACCGTAGGCAAGATCTACAACATCATCCGGTCCTACCTCGTCGCTTTCTTGCAGAAGCAGAACACCCAGCTATTGGGCAGCCCACGACACATTTGTTGCGTGGATGAATGTTTCTTGGCCAAGCGCAAACCGTCCAAGCAACTCCGGGGCCGTACCACACGCCCCATGCGCATGCTAGTGGTCGGCATTGTCGAATTGGACCGTGAGACTAAGAAGGAAACAGGTCGGGTGGTTCTTCGGTTGGTGCGCAACAGGTCGAGTTGGACATTGACGAATTTGGTCCGCAGCGTTGTCCGGCCTGGCACCACCGTTGTCACAGACGAATGGCGCGGCTATAACGGACTGCGCAAGGCAGGATACAACCACGTGAAGGTGAACCATAGCAAGAACCAGAAGGTCAATGCAGAAGGTTTGGGAACCAATCCTGTGGAAGGCCTGTTTTCGAGGGTTCGACGATTCTTGCGACAGAACTATGTCAGGATGCCTTCGCGCAAGAACTATGGATTGCTGCTTGCAGAGTATTGCTGGCGACGCAGTGTGTTGGGGGAGCAGACCTTGCCCCCCAGACAATGGCCGAAAGCAGCTTTCTGGCGTTTGTTGGCGACCATGAAGGAGGTTGTTCCGCGCGATTACTTGGTGAGGCGAGCTTCTTACCAGCAAGAGGCCGGATGTCCAGATTCGTAAGGGTTGCTATTGAGATGGCTGAAGCATTCCCAGGAGTGTGAGAGCGGTTTAAGAGACACTAAGACAGATGAGGGTCAAGCAGAACACTTTTGGGTGCTAGGAATTGGGTTTGCGCGCATCCTCTGTCGGGATATGACGTCCTTAGATTTCAGAATCAAAAATCCATTGGCGCATATTCCACAGGATGGATCCTTGCTGACGGAGGAGCCCTGGGAGGGCAAAGAGTCCGACCGGATTGATTTCGGGAAATTCATCCCGAAAGATGTCCGGCGGACCGGGCACGACATCGCCATGACACCACAAGACGTTTACTGCGCGCCATATTATCGCAGTAACGTCGAGTGGTCTTTGGCGGAGGAGGACTCGGCCCAAGCTGGGTTTGCCCGGGTTTTGCCCATGGAGGATCCAGACCCTATTTTCGATGAGGGCTACGAGCCCACTGGCCGACCCCCATTAAGGCAAGGCAGGGGGCGGGGCGGGATGCGTGGGGGCCGTCGATGGTCTCGACCAATGAAGGGTCAAGCATCTGGCCGATGGTCTCGACCACTTGGGGGGGAAGCATCTGGCAAGATTGGGCCAGTGCCGCCCCTAGATTTGGATTCCGACACGGAGAGTGAGCCAAAGAAAGGGATGGAACGTGAGGCCGCAGTTCTTTTGGATCTTGACTTCGAGGATGCCTTCGCCCAGTTCTTGGAGCCCGAGAAGCCAGGCAAGCACGAAGCCGGAAATATGGAGTTCGCCGTCCTTCCCATAACCGGCGATTGTGCTTGCCTTTACCGCGCTCTTCTCCTCGGCACGCAACTCCGTTCTGGAGTAGCACGTGGCAGGCTTCAGGCTTGGTGTCAAGAAATTTCGGGATGGATAAGGAAGCATACCCTCTTACATTATATAACAGTGACAGGACCCTATGCCCGCCGTGCAAGAGCTCAGGGAGGATGTCTGTGACGCTATGCGCAGCTGGACAGACTCCCTCCCCCAGGAGCGGTTCAACCAGGTCACGCAGTCCTTGGCATGGGACGCCCATCAGGATCATTCGCACGTGCAGGGGCTTGTGTTCGCATCTCGACACGTTTGCTACTACTAACAATAAAAACGCATGCTCAGCAAGCTAAGGAAATGCAGGACGACCCTGCTTGGGTGGAGGCTTATGGGCAACATTTCTCTTGGCATGAATATTGGTCCTGGGCAAAGAAACCCGGTACATACGGAACCTTCGCCAATATCTCTTCCTTCTGTCGCATGCGCGACATTTCCGTGGATGTTTACGCCCAAATAACCGGTCGGAAAGTTTGCATTTGGCAAGAAAGGGCCAATGCGGATGATGCAGCGGCAGGTCCCATTTGCTTGCTGCGAACCGGCAATCATTTTGATTTGCTGGTCCGGCCTTGATAAGACTCCTTCGCACCAATCGTTTCATCCAGAGGAAAAGTGCAATTGCAGAACCGGTGCAGAACGCATAGAATGATTGATCACAACGACCAATTTAAAATTGGAGGGCTACTTACTTCGTGCAAATGCGATATACCAGATGGGAACGGATCTCGATGGCTAGATCAATTCGAAAGGTGTCGCAATCAGAGCTATGAGCACAATGTCGTGGTTAGCCCATATACATAGCGTATGGGCTCACTTTGAGGATACTGTGTGGGGCCGCTTTGCGGTCCGTACTATCTGTACGTACAAGTGCTCCGTCTATAACGCAACGTTGTGGCTCAAGAACGAGCTCACGCTCGTACTGCCAGATTGCCAACGGCTAGTCCTGCTTTCGACTCAAGGAGACTAGAGCCATTCCCCTTGCACGCCCACTTGCTGAGCTTGTGCGAGCGAAACAAGCTTCTGCGAGTGTGCCTGCGTTGGAACGGAGTGAGCGAGAGGGTATACAGTTGGCAACTACGAATACCACGATCTAAAAGGCAACCGCAAAATCATTAAGTTCGGTGACGTGAGCATCAAATATCGTATTATCGATACCAAACCCTCACGCACCAGACAAGAACAGAGCAGTTGCATAGGATATGGTAACAAGGAAGTTGAAGGAAAAACTTGTGGGTTTATTATAATCCAAATACGTATACAGGAGGCGGCAACCTATTTGTGATTCGCTTCGATATGTCCATATGTAGTACCTGACAGCTTCTTGTGTGTCACGCCAGCTTTGTTTCCTACTTTGCAGCTTCAGTGCTCCAGACGGTACTTGCACCCTGCAAAGTTCCAGCAGAACTCAGCTCGTCGTACCTCTCGCGTTGCCCTGCCACCGCTTTGCCTGGGTTACTGTGTCCGGATACTCGGTCGGTTGCCCTGTGCTGTGTGACCGAGAAATAAATGGAACCCTCCGTTTTTCACATTATGCAATGATGGTCGGTTATTTTTTCCAAATCTTTAACCTTCGGGGATAGGGGCACGTAGATTAGATAAGAGGAGATCGGCGAATTGGTTGGAAACCGAAAATTTATGCGGAGAAAATAAAGGAATTTTGATAATGTTGTTTTTTGATTAATTTTCATATATTGGGATGAATATTTTTGCTTAGTTAATTCATTTTGAAATCCGATATATGATCTAAAACCGAAGAGGTAATAGACACGAAATAAAAAAAGAAGAGCCAAGATAAGACTTAAGAAAGATTAGATAAGAATTAAGAAAGAAGAGGTAAGAGACCACATTAAGAAGGAATTCCTAAGAGATAGAAATTAAGAAAGAAAGAATAAGAGATAAGAATTTAGAAAGATATTATAAGAAATTAGAATTCTAAAAAAAGACAAGAGATAAGAATTGGCGAAGAAATAATAAGAAATAAAATTTGAAAAAGAAATGGCAAGAGATAAGATTTGAAGCAAAGCATAGAAAAAGAATAATAATTAAGCAAGAATTTGCAAAGAAAATAAATAAGAAAAATAGGTAAATAAATAAATAAAGAAAGATAAGATAAGAAATAAATAAGAATAGACAACGAATAATAATTAAGCGAGAATAGGCAAATAATAATTAAGCAAGAAAAATGATTAGAATTGAGGATTAGACAAGAGACAATAATTAAACAAGAATAAACAAGAGATAATACTTAAGCAAGAATAAATAAGAGATAATAATTAAGCAAGAATAAGTAAGAGATAATATTTAAGCAAAAATAAATAAGAGATAATATTTAAGCAGGAATAAATAAAAGATAATAATTAAACAAGAATAAGCAAGAGATAATACTTAAAAGAGAATTAGCAAGAGATAATAATTAAGCAAAAATAAGCAAGAAATAATGTGTAAACAAGAATAAGCAAGAGATAATAATTATGCAAGAATAAGCAAGAGACAATAATTAATCAAGAAGTAATAATTAAGCAATTATATAAATTTCTAGAAAATAATAAATTCAAAAATCTACCATAAATGTAAAGAAATAAAAGTAAATTTTATTTATTTCTATATATAAACCAAATAATTAGAAAAGCTTAGAATCTTTCTTTAAACTTTTCTAATTAAAATATTAGAAAAG